CCTCCCACAATCTCCCTGTAAACAACCTCTACAGGACCGCCACTAACCAACTATTATTTGGGTAGTAGACCAGTGGGTTGTTATGCACTGTGTATTTTTACTGACCACATGATTAGATGCACCTACATTATTATTCCACCTTGTGTAGGTGTACAATTAGAGAGTATAGCTCATCTTTGTCCATGCGTAGTGTGTGTTAATCGTTATCTACGCTTCATCAGCTTCTAATTATAGCACTGCTGTTGGCTGGATATTTTTGGTTTGGTCGGTGGATTATTCTTAACCCATTAGTGACTTTGATGTGTTTAAAAACCCTGTTGGTGTCAGTTTCAGTCTCACTGCTGTGCTGAATGATCCACTATGCAAAGAGTATTTGGTGAGAGGTGGTACCGTAGTGGTGGTCATGTCAGAACAGAGCACCAGTGAATATAGCTACACTGTTTTAAAAAAAAAAAAATGAATAGGGGAGAGTTGATTGCATTAAAAATATCAATTTATTAATAATGATCAATAAGTATTTTTAACTTGTATACAACATTGCATAAGACCAAGAAAGATGACTAATAATTATTTCAAGTAAACTTGTGCAATTTTGGTGTTTAAAAAGGAAACGGTGTGGAAACATCTCATTTTATTTGAGTGAACTACACTGCAAATTTAGAGTACAGAGATTAATTCCTAGTTTAATTTTCTGTACAGCAGTCTTTTACTCATACAGTCAGACATATGGGCAGGAATACTAACATAGAAACCTATGACTTAGATATTTTTAATCAGTATTGCAATATTTACTTTTTGACATTATAGAATGTCACAAATTTGTTGTCACAGATTTATTTTGAGTTCACTCCATATTAAATTTTTTTTGTCCCACCATTGGTCTGTTACCTAATTTGTGCACCTGCTCTGAATTCATCCCTTGATTTGTTTGTCTTACCATACGCTCATGTTCCATTGACTCTTTTTGAGCCTTAGCTTTCCACAGTCCCTGGTGTTTGGTTCCACTTCCACTTCTGTGTTTATACCATTGGCTGTGTTACTGTTTAAGATTATAGAGATACCTTTGATTTTTTTACTTTGATCCCTGCCATGGTTCATGGCTGTAATTCCTGGATTCATGGTCCATCCATCTAAAAATTAAATAAATAAATACATGTCAGTGCAAGAATAAATGAATATGCAATTAAATAATGTTCACAATTGAAGAAATGGGGTAAATAATTTAAGTTAGTGTATTTGAGTAATCTTAACAATAGTAGATAAAATTTTTAGTACCCCATTTCCTGGACTTGCATAATTTAGTTCTTTTTTTTCTACCCATTTTATACCTAATTTGGTATTGCCAATTCCCACCCACTAGCCAGCTCTCTGTCATAAGACAGCTACCAACTGGGGCAGTGATGACTAACATGTGCTTCCTCCAACACACCTGAAGCCAGCCAGCTGCATCTTTTCAATCTGCTGCTCAAGCCGCATAACACACTCGGAGGAAAGTGCTATCTACCCTCTTCCGCATACATGAGCTTACTGGCTAGTGTCACTGTGATTGACAGTAGAGAGAGTAACGCCATCTATGCCACCCTGAGAGGATGGTTAATTTTGCTGTCTTGGAATCCTGGCCACGGATGGCTGTGGCATCGTCGGAAGATTTTTAGGGAGATTTTTGAAATACTACATGTTACTACAGTATAAGTTAAATGTACCATATAAAGTGGCCACTCTGTGTGTGTGCGCGTGTGCGCGTGTGTGTGTGCATGTTTGCACTCTGTTGCCAGGTCTCTTTTCCTAACACCAGCAGAGCGTGTATGCAGGCAGTGCTGGAGTATCTCTACACCAATCAGCTGTCACCCATGGCTGATTTGGACCCAATGGAATTAATTGCTCTGGCAAACAGACTGTGCCTTCCCCGCCTCATTGCCCTGACAGGTGCACCCTCCATCACACACACACACACACACATACACTGTACAAACTTGGATCAAACTATCATTTTGGTTCCTCTGTTCAGTGTTGCTTAGCAACGAGCAACGTCAAGGCTCTGGAAAAAAAAAAAGAGCCATTCCACAGACCATGGATTGTAGGTTGTCTACTTAATGTCATCAAACATCCATGTAAAACAGCAGTACTTACAAACTGACATTCTCTAAGGCTCATGTGTAGGCAAAGGTTTTGTGGAACGGTGTCTAGGCCTCTGTTAACAAAAATAATCTGTTTCCTGATTTAGACTTGTCGCTTCACAAACTGTTTCTAATGCTGTGCCAAAATGGTTTAGCAAGCTGAGGAAAGGCTTTCCTTCTCCAACAGAGCAATATGCTGTGAGTGAGCTGGTGAAAGCCTCTAGGGATGCCCAAGACATAGACGGCGAGGTTCTCAACTACCTGGAGCTTGCTCAGGTATTTATTATGCAAAATACTCCAAAATATCTTTTCTTACCAGTTGTGTTTATAATATGATGTACATTGACATGTTTCCTTTTTCCTCACAGTTCCATAATGCCAACCAACTTTCTGCTTGGTGCTTGCATCACATATGCACTCATTATAATAACATCTGTGCCAATTATCGCAAAGAGATCAAGTCCAAATCGCTAGGTAAGAGCATGACTGAAACATACTATAATACTTGTATTTATTTGGCTTCTGTCCAATCATGTAGCTATGAAAATCCAACATGTATGCATTCATACTTTATTAATGCCATATGGGAAACTATATACATCATGTCTTATATAGCAGCCAGTTAAGTATCTCTACGGTTTGTTAGTCTGGAGCATGGTCATTATCTGGACCATCTGTATTCCCATAAAGCAGTGCAATCATACATCAGTTTTTATCACAGAATATGTCTACAACTGAGCTGGTTGACAAATCAGGATCTTGAAATTCTAAGCTTCTAACTGACAATTCTCTTTTAAGTTTAAGACCCATAATCTATCATCAGTTAATCCGCATTAAGTTCAAAACGGAGACAACTTTTTTAATTTTATATTTCTTTATATTTTTAAGAAATATTTTGATATAAAATTTTAAAAATGGTCTCACATAATATTCAGTTGCTTATAAATAACATATTTATAACATTAACATCATTTTTGCCCAAACAACACAGATAAAACTTTATAATGGGCCCTTTTCACACTACATGGGTTTTTTGCTGCTGGAAGTAGCCTTCGCAGGGTAACTTTACTTCCGCTACAACAACAATAATACAGTGAAATAATGCCAAATGGAATCAAACACCAGATTTGATTGATTTGAATCAAAATCAGTAATGATTCAGGGGCAAATAAACTGCAACCACAGCGAGTAGAAAAGGTTCTGAAGGAAGCTAATCTCAGGCTAGCCTCAAGCTAATTTGTGTGACTGTTCCTTCCTTCTTATCGACTGGTAGCATATAGTTCTGACTGCCACTTCATTGTCGACTACATTTGTCACCGAACAAACAAAAGCCCTCATCATACTCTCTGAGCGTTAGCTCTCAATTTAATTGAAAATACAGCTAGCTAACATTAGCAAAAGGGTGCTATCAGTGATTAAGGTTTTCCTAACTTTTCTACCTATTCACACTTTTATCAATTTGTGGTAATTGTGGAACTGTGGTAAATATGAAATAATACACACACAATATCAATTAACTCCATATCTAGCTTCTTACCATCAGTGCTAATGTTAGCTAACATTACCTTACCCTGATAGCTGTGTAAGAATTCTACCATCAAGTATTTATATCCTTTATTCAGCTTGGAAACGTTCCTTCTACAACATTTCTGGGTGCATTTTCAAAGTGAAGTCTCAGCAGTGTTGACAAAGATGAGGTGAAAATCTTTCCACTGTGAGCAAAAGTGATAAAACCAGTGTTTCTGTGGTAAACAATTATCTGTAAGGCTTAGAAGAAAGCATCTGCGTCTACATAGTTCTCTTTTATGTGAAAATGGCAGTCAGAGGTCTTGAAATGTAACATTTATATGGCCGTTTTATGAAATATATAGTCAGGCTTTTATTTATTTTGTATTCCTGAGCTTCTTGCTTAGCTAATTGTGTTTATTATTTAGTGCTAATTCACCCATTAGCTAGCCACCTACTACTGTTAATGTGATAACTAATTGGCTAGCAATCAGTGCTCACTAGCCTAGTTATGATGATTGTGTTTCTATTTTCTCTATTAACATTACTGTTATTTTTGCTCATTGCTAATTAGGTATCCATAGTTTCTGCCATATGGCAAGCTTGGCTTACTCTGAGATACAAAGAGAGGTTTGTGGCCAAAAGTTAGAATAGCTAGCAAATCTAGGTTTCTCATTATTAAGTTTCATAGCTAATTTAAGTGGCCTGTGTTATTTGCGTCAGGCGTTTATTTACTTTCTGTCTCTTTGAATTGATGCGGCAATGTCAATGAAAAGTACCAAGCGGTTGCAAGTAAACATTCCGTCCCCTTTGAAAAAATGCCATCTGAAGGATGTACAAAGTGATATTAATCTTTAACAATGCTATCAAACTGGATAGCAGGTACAACAACTGCAGTACAACATTGTCCACCATCTTGTTTGTTTTGAGTTGAATGTGTCACATGACTAAAAATACATCACTGGTTTTGAATATCTCCATTTTTCTCAGTCCACACTACAACTCAAAAACCACATTTTCAAATTTGTCCACTTGGGAGAGCGTTTTCGAAAAGCTCCATTCTCGCTTGACAAACATGCCATCTCAGTGTTGACAGAAGGCCAAAACGTAGAGAAAAACATGCATTTTCAAATTTATGCTGATTAATGTGGACATAGCTTTAGCTAGCAGGAGTGTAAAATATAATTGTAGTATTTTAAGTTGTTCGGTGTAAAAATATTTTTACAATATTACCAACAAACTTTGCAACAAATTTTGATCTTGGCATTTGGCCCATTTTATGATTAATGACCCTATCTTCTTATGTTCTTCTTATGTTCTTCTTATGTTATGTTTTAGCAGTAATAATTTTGTTCCAGTAATAATTGTACATGTACGTCCCTGGAGGACTAGTGGTTAAGCCACAGCACTCTCACTGCCATGGCCTGGGCCCGGGTCCGATTCCTGGCAAGGGGAACCAACCCTAGCCACTGGGGTTGCACATGACAGTGCACTCCCAGTGCCGGTCCCAAGTCGGCATAAAAACTGCACCATATCGAAATATGCAGACCAACGATTCGCTGTGGAGACCCCTAACGGGAGCAGCCAAAAGAAGAGCAATAATTGCACATGCCTGTAATAATTACAGGCTGTCTTACAACCTTAGTAAGACAGCCTGTAATTACTCCAATGTCCTCAGCCTCAACAGACCTTTGTGTATGATATCAGTGTGTACTTTAAGTGTACCACCTTTCTTGCCCTTGATTGCTCTGTGTCTGTCTGTCATGTGAGCAGAAAACCAAGAGTACTTTGAGAAGCATCGCTGGCCTCCGGTTTGGTACCTGAAGGAGGAAGATCACTACCAGCGGGTGAAGAAGGAGAGGGAGAAGGAAGATGTGGTCCTGAACAAGCACCTCTCTCGTCGTCGCTGGTGTTTCTGGAGCACTTCTCCTGCAGTGTCCTGAGAGAGAGCGAGAGAGAGACGGCACTTCCTTTCCTGCTAACTGCTAGCCATTTTCTGTCTTAACCTACAATGATATGTCTGGAAATGCACTGAAATCTTTTCTTTTGGACTTACATCCAGTAAGTCAAGCAGACATCCAAACGGTTCAAAGCACAATCTACAATCTGCATCCACAGAATACAGGCCATCAAATGTAGTAATGCTCAACCAATGAAAAAAAGTGTATTCTCTGGTTGCAAAGTTTGTAAGAAAAAAAGGAGGGGATGAAGAAAAAAACTACACTTAGACATAACTAATTTCTAATATCCCCTTGATTTCTGTTTCCTTCTAGTTCTAAGTACAAAGGAATTCTGCAGCTTATAAAAATGCTCAATTTCGTTCTGCTAACAACCACAAACTCGTAGCCGATTTGAATAGTGATTTTAGAATAATTACGATCACTCTACATCCTGAGAAAAAAATGGCGTTTAAACTCAGTGTGTGGCAGGATCCATGTGTGCTGTACACTAAACAGCAGCTTCCTTTGACACCAGCCCTAATAAGAAACATCAGGTACATCAATGCAGTTACTTATCCGCTGTATGTTATTGAGGGCCCAGAAGGCACCATTTACTTTTGTAGTGCCAGGGAATACCATAGCTCACCTAGCTAGTCCTGTAATTCTATGTAAACATTTATGGTTGAATAAAACATTAACTCTTATTATTAGAAGGGCTTAGCACTATGGCTTAGTTCAGGGCTTACTTGAAACCAAGAAGCAAAACAATCAATAACCACTGATCACATATACTATCTTCACCGTGATTGTGCTAGATGTTACATGTAGGCTTACTATAGTGGATTTGAACTTTATACTTTACACATCAATGATTGTTATAGTCATTAAAGGGTTAAGAAATTCCTAGGTGAATGTAAATGAGCAATAAGCTGAAAGTGCAGGCTTTTGCTTTCAGGTGATTCTGTTGTGTTTAAGTAGTGTTGGTCAGGTTAGACGATATGTACTCTATGTGGGTGTTTGTATATGATGCACCACCTCATTATTACCATATCCCAATCCAGGCAGGTCACATTGACACTGAGGGGAAACTTAATACTTGAAAAATAAAATGCTTCTGTCTTTAGCCATGTAGGCTTGTCTTTAGTTCAGCAAAATATTAAGTAGCTCACTGTAATATTAAGATGCTCACTGGTGATTGTTCTTTTTCTGGCAGATTCAGTGTTAATTGTTATTAGCTGCTGCAAACCAAGTGGCTGGTTCATTTGGTACTTGGCCTTTGATTTTGCTCTTCATCACCCTTAATGCTGGCTGTTTATTTATGTATTTATTTATTTTTTGAACAGAATATCGTTTGGTGAATTACAATAAATGATCAATTTACTTACGCAGAGTGCTGTATTTGTTTTCTGTCGCTGTAAAATATATCTTATACCACAGCGCTGTTAAATTCTCAAATGTGGTCCGTAATAACAGCAGCTCTGACAGTAGAGTCGGCTGTAATTCAAATCACAATGCACTTGTTCTAATGCGTTATCGTTTCTATGGTAACAACACATTCACAGGGACTTGAATGTCAGATGCTCCACATAATCTAAGACTGATAATAAACAGATTTAAAGGGGAAAAAAGTGTTATTTTACAAAAGAAAAACATCTAATTGCTTTCAGTAAGGATTTATCGAAGGAGTCTCAGGTGTCAGCGCTTTGTAAAGGTCAGTAAGTTTCCCACCACGCACCATGGGAGAGTCTGTACTGTACTTTCCGTTTGTTTTGTTGTAATTGTTGTTGTTTGGGTTTTTTTTTTTGTTGTTGTTGTTGTATTAACTTCAAGTGAAAGAGAAAAAGAGAGGCTGGCAAGGAAATGACTGGTTATAGATACTTTAACATGAATGATAACAGGAGTTAACTTGTCCTATGGACATTCTGCAACATTAAATGTGGCTATAAATGGATCAAAAGTAAGACATATTCATTAATAGTTTAAAAATTATAATTGTTGGCAAATTGCTGTGGTATAAGAGGAATAAAACAGTTCAGGAAATGCTGTTACTTCCTCATCATTGATGCTTTTCCTACAACAGCATGCCCTGTCATTTTTTATTACTTACTTATCAAAGCTTATCAAAAACTTCTAAGAAGCTAAAGCTGGTGACTTGAATCATGGAGGTTGAGTATGAATATGTGTTTAAGTATGAAATTATGTGTATTATATTTTATTCTCTCCTGTGGGGCTTCCAGTACATTTCAATACATCAGGAGTAAGGAGATTTTGCTTATCCTCACTTAAAATGTAGAAAGATCTTTTATTTTTAATAAAGTGTTGTTGTTTTTAGTTATGGGTCAGGTTGTGTCTGGTTAGATATAATGACCTTGTCAGTGTAATAATTGTCAGGTCAATTTAATTTAAGATTAAGTTAAAAAGTAAAAGATATTTAATAAGGATGTCTGTGAACTACTTTCAAACCACTACTGTGCTGCAAATCAAAGCTTAAAGAGTTCATTTAAATTGGAAATTAAAGTATTGCTATGTTCTGTATATTATTTCAGTATTATTACCACTTTTTTAAAGAACATATTAGGCCAACCTGGAATTCAGGCATTTTCTAATTCTTCCTCTGAAGCAATGGCCCTAGACAACTGAAATGTTTAAAATGGTATTCCAAAACCATTCCAAGATTCAAATACAATGTAAGTAATTATTAAATCATAGACACTTGCATTTAGATATTCACATGGGACATTTTTATGCACTGTGCTGGTCGTAAGATTCCTTCATATCAGACTGCTCCATTAATAATGCATGTCTCAAGGTTGCTACAAGTTTCTATGGAGCCGACCTAGAAAAGTGTGGCCTTGTTGACAGCACTGTCATTCTCAGCTGCCCTTCAGAGCCCTCCTGTCTTTCAGTCCGAGAGGAACGGGCTCTGTTTCATGCACACACTTAATTCTCGGAGTTTATTATAAGCCTTGACCTGACAGGCTGATACGTGGCATCTGTAATCAGAAATGGCTCCATATTCTCTATACATGTTGCATGTACATCCTTTGTAGGTGTTTTTTTTAAGTGTTGGGTATTTTTAGTAATAATTGACCAGTTGTCAGGAGTCACTTCTGGTGGTAGATGTTTTTCTTATGATCTAAAGACAGGTTCTATAAATGTTTTTATGAAATCCAGATTAAAGATGTAAATGTTCAAGCTGGAGTATTCATAGTTCCTGTAATTAAACCTGCCATTTGTAACTCTATAGATTTAGTTAATACATGCAAATTGTTTTAATTATTAATTGTTCAAACATTTGTTGCAAAGTATCTTCATTGCAATTCCTTGGTTTTGTATTTTTTATCTTTATTTCTTTATTCTTTATTGTTCTTTATTGTTCATGTTCTTTTATCCTTATACTTTCTGTTTATTGTTTTATTCTCTGCCTCTAATTGAAATTATTCTGGATTCAAAATAAAAGTGACTGTTTATACAGTACTGTGCAAAGGTCTTTTTTTTAGTACATCCTTTAGGCATTCTTTTTTTTTTAGCACAAAAAATTGTTATAGATAAGAATAATAATAGATAGATAGATAGATCGATCTAAGAATTAAGAATTCTGTATTATTGAGTCAGTACAAAAACATTTTAGATTTCCAAACATTAATTTTCCAAAAAAAAAATTTATGTTACAGAAAAATGTTTGTATGGCAGTAAAGAAAGCAGCATATTATGTAAGAGACCACTTTTCAGACAAAAAACATAATGAAGGCTGCTGGGTTTTGCTGCAAAAATAAGAAACAAGCGCGACAGTCAAAGTCTCCAGAAGAACTGCAGCTCATACCTAAACATTGTTGCAGACTAAGTACACTGCTTCATGGCAATGGTATTCCCTAATGGCAGCGGCCTCTTTCAGCAGAATAATGCACCCTGTCACACTGGAAAAAATTGTTCAGGAACAGTTTGAGAAACATGACAATGTGTTCAAGGTGTTGGTCTCCAAATTCTCCAGATCTCAAGCCAATTGAGCATCTGTGGGACATGCTGGACAAACAAGTCTGATCCATGGAGGCTCCACCTTGGAACTTACAAGACTTAAACATCTGCGGCTAGTGTCTTGGTGCCAGATACCACAGCGCACCTTCAGAGGTCTTGTGGGGTCCATGCCTCGACGAGTCAGAGCTGCTTTGGCAGCACAAGGGGGACCTACACAGTAATATCAGTGTATATTAATAATATGTTACACATGCTTGAGTCATTAATGCTGACATATGCAGCTTTTCAGGCGTTTCAAAAATATTATTTAAAGGACAAGTTAAAAAAAAGAAGGTGGAGAGATCAAGTCGGTCTGACCCTGGCCTTTTCCAACTTTTTCAGTTTGACAGAATATCTCACAATAAAATTTAATATCAAACTATGATCCGACACCAAAGTAGAAACACAGTGTAAGTGGCAAAACGTAGTACTTTGGTGTCATCACATTATTTTACAGTAAAAACTCAAATTTCCAGAGCAATCATTTTACACGTTGCATCA